ATATTGGTTTGGCAATTGCAGTCTTTTGTGGTTTCTTGGAAATTTTAATATAGTAAAAAAATTTTGTGAAAAAAAAATGCCATTGAAATTTTTATAGGGATTGCAATGAATCTGTAGATGGCTTTGGGTAGTATGGACATTTTAACAATATTAATTCTTTTGATTCATAAACATGAAATATCATTCCATTTATTTGTGCCTTCTTCAGTTTCTTTCATCAATATCTTATAGTTTTCAGTGTATAGATCTTTCACCCCCCTGGTCAAATTTATTCTTTTTGATGTAATTTTAAATGTGATTGTTTTCTTGATTTCTCTTTTTGATATTTCATTAGTAGTTTACAGAAATGCAACAGACTTTTATATATAGATTTTGTATCCTGCAACTTTACTGAATTTGTTTATTAGTTATAATAGGTCTTTGGTGGAGTCTTTAGGATTTTCTATATGTAATATCAGGTCATCTACAAATAGAGACAATTTTACTTCTTTCTTTTCTATTTAGATGCATTTTATTTCTTTTTCTTGACAAATTGTTCTAATCAGGACTTCCAGTACTATGTTGAATAAAGGTGGTAAGAGTGGCCAACCTTGTCATATTCCTGATCTTAGAGAAAAAACTCTCAGCTTTTCATCATTGAGTATGATGTTAACTGTAGGCTAGTCATATATTGCCTTTATTATGTTGAGGTATGTTCTCTCTATACCAACTTTGTTGAGGGTTTTTTTTTTTTTAATCATAAATGGATGCTGAATTTTATCAAATACTTTTTCTGCCTCTATTGAGATGATCATATGTTCCCTAATTTCGTTAATGTGGTATACAACATTAGTTGATTTATGGATGTTAAACCATCCTCTCATTCCTGGAATAAATCCCAATTGATCATGATGTATGATCCTTTTAATGTACTGTTGAATTCAGTTTGCTAATATTTTGTTGAGAATTTTTTCATCTATGTTCATTAGGGACATTGGCCTGTAATTTTCTTTTCTTATCATATCTTTGTCTGGTTGTGGTATCAGAGTAATGCTGGACTTGAAAAATGAGTTTGGCAGTTTTCCCTCCTCTTTTTTTGAAAAGTTTGAGAAAGAATACTATTATAAATTCTTTAAGTTTTTGGTAGAATTCACCAGGGAAGCCGTCTGTTCCTGGAATTTCGTTTTCGGGATGTTTTTGATTACTAATTCAATCTCCTTACTAGTAATTGGTCTGTTCAGATTTTCTGTTTCTTCATAATTCAGTCTTGGTAGATGTTTCTTTCTTCTAGGTTAGCCAATTTGTTGGTGTATAACTGTTCATAGTATCTTGTGATCTTTGTCTTTGTATAATATCAGTTGCAATGCCTCCTCTTTCATTTATAATATTATTTATTTGAGCCTTGCTTCTTTTTTCTTGGTTAATCTAGCTAACAATTTTTGTACTTAAAAAAAAAAAAAAAAGGCAGCTTTTAGTTTTATTGATCCAATCTGTTGATTTTTCAGTCTCCATGTCTTTCATTTCTACTCTGATCTTTGTTATTTCCTTCCTTCTACTGGCATTGGGCATGGTTTGTTCTTTTCTAGCTCTTTAAACTAAGTTTGAGTATATAAGATCTTCATTTATTCTGAGTATAGGCATTTATTGCTATAAACTTTCCTCTTACAACTGCTTTTGCTGCATCCCATAGTTTTTATATTTGTGTTTTTATTTTCATTTGTCTCATGATACATTTATTTACATAATTTCTCCTTTGACCCATTGTTTGTTCAGGAGCATATTGTTTAATCTCCCCATATTTGTACATTTTTTTAGTTTTCATATTGTAATTGATTTCGGATTTTATAGTATTGTGGTCATAAAAGATACATGATGAGATTTCAATCTTCTTATTGTTTTGTGGCCTAACGAATGATCCAACCTGAAGACTGTTGCATGTGCACTTGAAAAGAATGTGTGTTTTGCTCTAAGTATCTGTTAAGTCCATCTCATCCAATGTTTCTGTGTTAATTTTCTGTCTGAATGATCTATCCATTTTGAAAGTGGAGTATTGCAGTACTTCTATTGTTGTATTGCTTCTTTTTCTGCCTTGAGATCTGTTCATATTTGCTATACACATTTAGTTGCTCCAATGTTGAGTGCATACATATTTGCAAATATTATATCTCCTCAATGAATTGATATCGTCATCATTATAGTATAATGACCTTCTTTGTCTCTTATTACAGTCTTTGGCTTGAAATCTATTTTGTCTGATATAAGTATAGCTTCCCCAGCTTATTTTTGTGTGTAACCATTTGCATGAACTATCTTTTTCCATTTGTTCACTTTCAGTATTTGTGTCCTTAAAGTTGAAGTGGGTTTCTTGTAGGCAGTATGCAATTAGGTCTTGTTTTTTTCTTTAATCCATTAAATTACTCCATGTCTTTTTTATTGGCCATCCAGCCATTTAGAAATGAGATCAAGCAACTATTCTTCACATGGTAGTGGAATTTGAGACAGAAAACACTTTTAAAAAATACCCTGTACTTCTATTAAAGTTTAGCATTTTATGCACAAAGGAAATACATAATATATTATTATGAACTCTCCTGCTTAGCTAAATAGAACCACACAGCAGGAATTTTTAAAGACTCTTTTGGAACCGTGGATTATTAGTCATCCCTTTTCTTTTGTTTCCCTGGTAATGTTTGGCACGTGCCCCTCCTCTCTGTCTTAGTATCTAGATTTCGATGCAGGGATTCTATAGCCTCAAATGGAGTATGAATTTTTCTTTATTTATTTTGAATTGTTTTATTCTTCTGCAGCCCTATCATTTGTACTTCGTGGATTTGGGGGGCAGGTTAGACAAGGACTTAGCACTGTCATGATGAGAAGAGTTGGGATGGGTGATGAAGTTCAGAGGAATTTACACTTTGTTGTTTCCCAAGGCAGTGGAGCTGGTCCTTACTAGTGTCATTTAAGAGGCAATGGAAAACTTATTTCTTACTAGTGGATATGATCCTTTAAATTTCATCCTGGGACGAAGATTCCCCTTGGAAATCTGTCTCCTTTTAAAATATAAACAATAACCCGGCTGGTGTGGCTCAGTGGTTGAGCATTGACCCATGCACCAAGAGGTCACTGATTTGATTCCTGATCAGGGCCCATGCCCAGGTTGTGGGCCCGATCCCCAGTGGAAGGCATGCAGGAGGCAGCCAGTCGCTGTTCTCTCTCATTGATGTTTCTATCTCTCTCTCCCTCTCCCATCCTCTCTCTCCTAATATCAATAAAGAAAAAAAATGCAAATGATACGGTGAGGAAACAAAGCGTAAGATTAAAATTCTAGAGGGCACTGGAAAGAAACTTGGTCATCTTCTAATATGGGGCTTCTCATAATGTGGGTCCCCTGACTTCCTTCAAGAGGTCCATGTTGACATTTGTACTGCAGATCCCACAACAATGGTGAACACAACCTCTGGCATCTTTGTTTGAATAAAGGCAGTCTCAGCAAATGATACTCGTAATCATGCATTCTTCATCATTACATACTTGTACCTAAATACACACGCACATACACGTATGCCAGTTTTATGTAAGAATGTCCTTGAAGCAGTAAGCTTTATTAGTGTTATTGGATCTTGACCCCTGAGTATGTGATAAAATGGGAAGTATACATAAAGCATGTTTGAGGCTACTAAAGAATGGTGATTGTTTCAGGGAAAAGTACTTTTGTGATTGAGTTGCGAGCTGAACGAGTTACTTTTTTCATGGAACCAATCTTTTCTCGACAACCAACTGAAAAAAAAAAGGGGGGGGGAGGAAGCCTGCCTCTTTAAGAAAAACAACTGACAGTATTCATTACCAATGATAAAATTTAAGCTTTCAAACAAAAATGAGAATTTTGGAGAACTCCTATTTGTCACCATGAGCTTGACAGCTTTCCAGTATTTAAAGACTTTTCTGATGAGATCGGTGGTAATATTAATGACTATAATATTTTGATATTATATAATGAAAAATGTCAAAATGTGGAAGATCTGAATAACTCAGTGTTCCCATATTTTCCAGATGACTAATGTGTGATGTTACAAAATAAGAAGGGTAGAAAGATCTACTCAAAAACCAATATGGAACACTGGATGTGAATATAGCGGAGTGGGAGCTCATTGACGTGGGCCGGGTTGCACACTGGAGCCGTTAAGAAGCTATGTTTATTGAGGTTAGTGTGGTGCCGTAGCAGGGCATCCACCTTGATCACAACAGACTGGTGCCGCAGTAAATTGGAAAATGCAGCTCCCACCTGCTCAGCTCGATAGGGAAGAGATTTGCAAAGAGCAACACGGCCATTCTTCTCGCCAAACTAGTGTTGTTTCAGAACGTGTCGTTATCGTCACAAAAATATATTATGTATGTGACATGTAATGGATTTACCACTGTTCTCTTTAAATACCATGATGAATTAATTCATCATTAGTCTCAGTTTTCATTTCTAAAACGGCAACTATCAGTAGAGGTCAGCCACCTAAATATGGAGGGCTCAAGCAATGTGAAGAGTGTGAAGGGGTCCTGAGACCGAAACGTTGGAGAACTGTTGTTCTAGAGACGATAGAGACCAAAATCTGACTTCACCAGTGGGTAACTGAGGCCACGCAGGTGATGCGATTCATCCACGGGGGACCCACGGTGATTAGATCCTATCCCTGCAAAACCGTTGCTCCAGTGTTTTCATTGTCTATTTCCCCGATGACACTGCTGCCGTGACTCCCTTCATATGAATCAGCCACTGTCCAATAAGAAAGGTTATGAGGGTAAAGTTCTGATGGAGGCCAGTTGAGACAGGGACTCCTCAGCGCCCAGGAGGGAGAGGCCAGGGCCAGGCCAAAGGGCCTCTTTTAGGCAGAGGTCGCCTCCATCTGGAGAGAGGTGGCCTGAGAGCAGATGAGCAGGTCCCCGTGGAGGAAGAACATGACCTACTGTGGACTATATGCCTCTTACTCCAAAATACAGTGACCTTTCCTTACCCCTTGGCTTCCCTCCAGGGAGTTTGCACGTTGGAAAGTGAACAACTTGGCCCTGGAGAGGAAAGACTTCTTCGGTTTGCCATTGCCCCTGGCCCCAGAGTTCATCCGGAACATCCGCCTCCTTGGAAGGAGACCCAACTTGCAACAGGTTACTGAAAACCTGATCAAAAAGTACGGCACTCACTTCCTGCTTTCTGCCACCCTTGGAGGTAAGCATCACTGTGGCCCAGCGTGAACTGGTTGCCAGGCTGTTGAAACAGCTGTAACGCTCACTGAAGATAGCTTCAGTAGTCTTCTGGGATATTCTGTTTTTCCTGCCTGTTGATGCTTGAGAAATGTCTCCTTTCTGATGCCTTTGAGAACAGTGTGGTTTCTTCACATCCAAATTCACCCCAGAACGTTGCTGTTGGCATCTGAGCTCCCTCCTGAGGAAAATGTGTTGGGTAAAGGGTAAAGAGGTTGGGGGACACAGACGCCCGCTAAGCCCTGGCCAGCAGGGGGCGCTCTCAGTTTCCTTTTGACTGAGCCATTGAAACCTTAAGTTTCTCCATATTCCAACATTTGCTGTGGCTACAGTTGTCCGATCCATGGGCAAAGAAGGAAATTCTGTTGAGTTCATGCCCCTGCTTCCTCTTTGTAAAGACTGGTGACCAGACAGATCAATGCTAATGATTCGGGGCTGGATGGAGCAGAGGGTCGGGGTGGGACGGTGCCACCCTGGCCAGGACGCAGGGTAGAGCCGCAAGCTCTGAAGGGCAGAGTTCTGTCCACCCTGGGAGAAGACAGCAGGATTTATGAGAACATTACTCACTGTCTGATGGACACAAGGGAGCTCGCGGAGGGGCCAGGCCAGCTGCACAGGCGGGTATTGAGTGTCTGATGGGGAGAGGGGACCTTACACGTCCAGGCTTCTGCCCTTCCGGAGGGAGCAGAGATATTCGTGGCAGCTTCTCGTAAACAACTTGAGAGAACGAATTTGATCCCCTCCGAAGAGGTGATGCCTGAGCCAGAGATCAGTGGCGGATGGGAGTGGATAAGAGGGATGACAGGGTGAGCTTTGGGGAGACACACAGAACTAAGGAAAGGGAGGGGCCCCTCCGGCAGTGGCACCCGTTGTCCTGTGACAGCGTCTGAGGAGGCTGTTGTAAACACGGTAAGGGGCGGGGAAGAGCCGTCGCAGGGGTACTGGGCTCCTTCTTAGCGCCGCCCATTCTGGCCCAGTTTCATGTTCTCGTTGGTGGAGGACGAGGGAGCAGCAGCCTCACCAATGCACCCTCGCTGTTTGCACAGGAGAGGAGTCCCTGACCATTTTCGTGGACAAGCGGAAACTGAGCCGAAAGACAGAGTCCGCGGGAAGTGTCCCCACAGTCGGGGGCAGTGGGAACAGCTCGGCCGTGTCCCTGGAGACCCTGCACCAGCTGGCGGCCTCCTACTTCATCGACAGAGAGAGCACACTGCGCCGGCTGCACCACATCCAGATAGCCACCGGGGCCATCAAGGTAAGGTCAGCGACGCGCGGGCGCGGGGGCCACTCGTGGGGGCCAGAGTCTGAACCAGCTCCACACCAGCCAAGCCCGACTGACCAAAGCGGGAGGCAAGCTTCCTGGCGGAGGCATAGCTAGCCCTAGACACGGCCCAGGTCTTCACTCTGCCGCACATTGTCAGGCAGCATCTACTCTGAGGCTGACTCGAGCCGAGGGGCTGTAGAGCGAGACAAGGTCCCTGCTCTCCTGAGGTTACATTCCAGTGTGGGAAACAGATGATAAACAATTAAATATCAGCAAAGGGATTTCAGATAATGATATGCAGAAAGGACAGGGTCCTGAGGAAAAGATTTCCTGAGAGAAGGGAGCAGATAATTGTCACCAGGTTGGTCAGGGGCGGAGATCTAAATGGAAAGAAGCCAGCTGTGTGCAGATCTGAGGGCAGAGGTTCAGGCAGAGGGAGCAGTAAGTGCTAAGGCCCTGAGGCAGGAGCTGGCTTGGTGCTTTGGTGGATCACAGAGAAGACTGTAGTGACTGCAGTTAGGTGAACAAGAGCACCACTGGGACAAGACGAGGTTCAGAAGTAGGTTGGAGCCGGACTACACGGCCAGAATAAAGAATTTAAAAAACGCCCAAGTACAATGGAAAACAACCAGAGTGTTTTAACCAGAGGAGAGATATGATCATACATGTTTGAAAAAGATCGATATTATTGTAACTTTAATGACTATAACCTCCATCCATTGTCTCTGCTTATGTCTAGGAGAGTTCTAGGCAAGTCCATATTGTTTCAGAAAAGAGAGGACTAGTAAAAAACACTTGAGAATACTAGATTTTTTAAATTCTAAATATAAAGTTAGGGAGGCAAGTAAGGGTCAGTCTCGTCTTATATTTGACCTTGATCCTACCCAAAATTCACAAGGAAGTTATGTTTATTTATTGTTCAGCAAATATTTTGAATGCCCATTATGTGTTCGGCACTGTTCTGGGTATTGAGAATACAAGAGCGAACAAACATTTTATGCCCATGACCTCACGGAGCTTCAAGTCTAGTGGTGGAGACGTAATTTAATAGATGCACCATGTCAGGTGGGATTAATGGTATGAAGAAATAAAACCAGGGAAACAGGGGTGCTGGGGACCTGTGCTTCAGGGAAGACCCGTCTGAAGGAATGTCCTTTAAGCAGAGGTGTGAATGAAGCGATGGCGTGAGCCCATGGTCCTCCTGAGTGAGAACATTCTAGACAGAAGGAAGAGCACGTGCAATTACCCTCAAGAGGGAGTGTTCTTAGTGGGACCCAGGAACACCGTCTGGAGCGGCGTCACAGAGGGGTGAAGTGGGCCATGAGGCCCCGTGGCGGTAGGGGCCAGGTCAGGAGGGTGTTACTGAGCAGTGACTGTTGCCGTGGTCAAGGTGAGGACTCATGGTGCCTGCTTGGACAAAGCGATGAAGAGGCTGTGACAAGCTGGCGGAGTCACAGTATATTTTGGTGACCGAGCCTACGGATTGCTGACGAATTGGAAGAAAGGCGTCAGGATGAACGGCAAGATCTTTGGCCCGAGCAACTGGGGGAAAAGCGATTCCGTTTGCTAAGAAAGATCACCCTGGGGGAGGTGCAGGTCTGAAAGGAGTGAATCAGGAGTTTGGTTTTCGACATATTGGACTTGACGTTTCTATTAGCCATCCGAATGGAGACATCTCGCTGGCCGTCGGATAGGAACACCAGGATTTCAAGAGAAAGGTCAGGAGCAGAGACATAAATTTGGCATACAAATATATTCACGTGTGCAGTTGGTATTTACAGCGAGGGGACAGAATGAGCTGAGCCCACCGGAGGAGGGGCGTGGCTGGTTGAGCAGCCCCAGGCCTGGGCTGTGAAGCACATCCATGTTCAGCAAGGGGAAGAGGAGGGGCATCTGGCGAGGGAGGGACGGAGGCCGAGGCGAAGCAGAAAGGTGTGGAGAGAACCCGTCAGATCACAAAGCCATGTGAGGAAAACGTGGCCGTGCTAAATGCTACTGAGCAGCCAGGTTAGAGCTGACCTTCCGTTTGGCCACGCGGGGGTAACTAGGGCCTAGATGGGGGCCGTGTCAGTGGCGTGCAGGTGCGAAAGGCTGAGCGGAGAAGGTCTGGGAGAGAGGGAACAGGGAGGGGTCAGAGGCGTGGACACAGTGCGTTCGGAGTTTGCTGTAACCGCGAACAGAAAGATGGGAGGTAGCTGGAGAGTGATGCGAGGTCCGGTGAGGGTGCGTTTCTGCCTTCGGATGGGAGATGTTCCAGAACACTGGTGGGTTGATTGAAATGATTCGTGGAGAGGGAGAAAGTGATGATGCCGGAGAGATAGGAGATAATTGCAGAAGCCATCGCATAGATGAGAGGAGTTGATATTCCACGCACGGGGCAGGGACAGGTCTCACACAGGGGCATGAGCACGCCAGCCCTTGTAAGAGGAGGCGGCACAGCGTCCACAGGGACAGGTGCAGTGGACGGTGGGTGTGCTGGGGGGAGGCAGGGGTTCTCTCCTGATTGATTTCATTTCCTCCGTGAAACAAGCAACGTCTTGGCTAAAAGGAAGAGGAATTGTTGAGAAAAGAACACTCAAGATGGTCTTTTCAGACAGTGGGAGTTAGCTGTACCCCTCGCCTAGATAAATGTAGTGGGTTGTTGGGCAGCACTGAGGGCCCATTGGAGACACCAGTCAGCAGAGCTCGAGTTTTATCAGCCGCATTCAGCACTTCATCTTCAGCCAGGCATGGGCTAGATGAAGAGTTGGATTGAACCAAGGTGTGTGTGCGTGTGTGTGTGTGTGTGTACAAAAGACAAAAGAAAAAGATACAAGGGAGCTGAGAGTGTACAGAAGGAGCTGAAAATGAAACTATCAGGTCAGAAACGTTGGAAGGCTAAGTAGGGTTTTCTAAGTTTATGTTTAAATTATTATTGACATTTGGTTCATTGGACGACCTGTTAGAGGGAAGGGATCGGAGGGGGCACAAGTGTGTGATGCTTCATACCGGGATTATAGAGGGAGTGAGGGTTCTGGGGCATGGCCATGGGTGTGGGTAGCCGAGTGGGGTTGGAAGACAAGATGAGGAAGTGAGGCCAGGGAACTGAGAAGCCAGGGGATTGAGAGATCATCCACATGGACGCTGACGTCGGCAGGAATGATGCAGACGTGATGGCGATAAGGAAGCTTCATGTTGAAAATCTTCAATGAGCAAAGGGGAGGAACAGCAAAAATAGACTGCAACCGGGGAGGGGGGTAGTGGGTCCTGATGGTCCTGATGGTTCTGGCTTCCAAGGAGCCAGAGGTGATGTCGGGAGGAATGAGAAGCAGGTTCCGGATCTCACAGTGCCAGACCGCTCCGACTTCCACGCCCCGGAGACTCAGCGGAGGGGACACACGTGGAGAGGCTCCCAGGAGGCTGTGTCCTCGGGGTCTGCCAGGTCGTGGTTAGTGTGAAGGACTCTCGAGAAGAGGTTGAGGCTCCAGGGATCTTGCTGCGGACTGATGGTGAGATCCAGAGGGCGGGGCGGAAGGGGTCAGATCAGGGGTGGACCGTGTCCGGGGTGAGTCTGAGAAAGGATGGCTGAAGCAGACAGGGGTTTCGGGTACATTTGGGAGGCTGGCGTCTTGGGCAGTTTAAAATGACGAAAGAGCGCATCAGTCATGTGGAGTGGGTTACACCAGGAAGACAGCACTCTGTGGAAGCCCTTCCCCCATCAGGCCTGGGCTGTGTCCAAGCCGGAGAAGAATCGGTCTTATTCAGACATGCAAGGTAGTCATGGATCAACAACTCAATGATCCTGGTAACGTTCCCCGTTATCCTTTGACCTGATCAACTCTTGACTTTCTATCACCCTTCGCGGCATCATTTCCCTCTTTGCCCAGCTTCGATTCCTGTGTTTGGCCTCCTGTTCATGCCCACTGACATCCCCCTCATTCAGGACCTCATTTATTTTTACTTGCATTGTCTTTTTTTTTCTTTATCCTCACCCGAGGACATTTTTCGATATTTTGTTCAGATAGAGCGGGAGGGAGAGAGAGAGAGTGAAACATCAACGTGAAAGGGACACATCGAGTGGCTGCCACCCGCACGACCCAACCAGGGCCGGGGACAAACTGCAACCGAAGCACGTGCCCTTAGCGGGAACTGAACCCGGGTCTCTCAGGACCGCAGACCGACGCTCTAACCGCTGAGCCAAACCGGCCGGGGCTCCTGCATTGTCTTTTAACGATTTTCCCGATCCCATTCTCAGTCACTCTGGCTCGCCCGCTGAGCTGCTCGTAGGAGTGGACATCATCAGATCATAGCGCCCCCTACCTCCGTTCCTTCAGTGGCTCCGGCTGCACACGACACGGCGCCCAAAACACTGCAGGCAGCCAGGGTGGTGGTGTGAGCCCACAGGAAGGGCGCAGGCGCGAGCCCGGAGTCTGGGCCCCGCCGCTGCTCATGGTCGGGCTCTGAACAAGTCCCAGAACTCGGAACCTCCGCCTGCTCACGCAGCACCGTCGAACAATTAGAATAATGTCCCCCTTGAAGGATGTCTGTGAATATCGAACAAGGAAATATATATAGAGCATGAGCTATAGCACCAGTGGAAAAGGGATGCTTCCTCTTATTTGTAACAAAACTATAAGGCCACTGAAGATGCTTTTCTCTTTTTTATTTATTTTTTTACTTTATTTCTCAGTGAGAAAGTGAATGGTTTACTTCAAGATGCCAACAACTTGATGTGCTTCACATTTTAAATAGAAAATACAATTCACTTTACTTCATTTTAAAATCAAAATGTTATGAAAGATAAAATCTCTATAAACTGCTCTGTTTGTTAATATGAAATCTCTCTTTTTTATTTTATGATTTTTTTATTAATTTATTTTTGTTACAGATGTGTCTCCTCTTTGTCCCCATTGACACCCTCCTCCCCACCCCCCCACCCCATACTCGGCAAATGAAATTAGACCATCAACTTACACCATACACAAGGATAAACTCAAAATGGATAAAAGACT